TGTCAGTTCGACTTTCCTTCAAGTCAAAGGGTAGCCACAGGTAGAGACTGAAATTACCGCTATCCAGAATCCAACTATCTGCTTTCCAACAATTTCTGATGAAGACATCAAACAATGCTGACATCCACATGAAGGAAAATACATAATAATAATAATAATAAAGCGAAGTGAAGTAGGTTTGCGTTGTAGCACTGAATCTCCGAAGATTCGTTCATTGACATCCATGGCAATGGCACAGATTAGCAATTACCTAATTGATAGATCGACAGAAGACGTGAGATATGCGAATTAATTATGAGTATTAGCCAAGATTGGCTATATTGCTTTGAATATGCATCTCTCCAAGGCAGAGAAAATCCATTCTTCTTCGTGTGAATGGCTTCAGCAACTGCTAAATTTGCTTCACTTTCAACATGGCGATTAAGGAACTGATGTCCTTCGCATAAGGCGCTACGATTCTTTCAGTCCACATTTCACAGTGGCTGACTGTACTTTGACTGCCTGATCAGGATGGATACGGTGTCTCGTTTAAAGGTAGTTACATGAAAGGAGAGCAACTATATTTTTCTCTGAGCTTATTAATCCTTGTCATTTCATTTAGCTAAAATTCCATGAAGTTGGTCTCATAACTACTTTCTTACTCAAACTTAGTGATTGAACAGATTCCTCTCTCATGATTAGAAGCTGTTTAGTACAGTTGCTAATTGACTGTGCTTTTTATTCCATGACATAGATTTTCTATGTTTTATTTCACCGCTGAAAGACATAATGAGTAGAATCCAGTATGGCTAAATTCCGCGTACATGTCAGCTCATTATGCCTTAAGAGTTTTCTGTCATTTTTTAGTAAGATAACCACATAAAGGAATTCAATGAATCTAGGATAATTGCTGGAAAAAAATAACAAAATTTTCCCTTGCACTTTTGATTCTCTATCAAAAGTCAAAAACAACGTTTTAATACGGCATTTTTTATGCTATTGTTAGCGCGTTATAAAAGTTTATGCAGTTCAATGTCTCTGCCATTAGAAATGCTTCTATGGCCTTCTGGCTCCAAACCTACCGAAGGGCTGCGAACAGCAAAAAACAGCCTCCAAACCTCTACGAACCTCCCACGTTAAAGAAAACTCGGAATACACGAATCGAAATGCCACTGTTCATCAATCATCCAATCGACTATATTGTTTGTTTGCATTGTGCGTTGACAAACCGTGTTCTATCTTATTTCATCATGTCATGAGAACCAACGCACGAACGAAATTCCCTATTTATTATAGTTTATGTAATGAACGATTCCTTTTTTATTTTAATTATTTTATCTCATATGGCAATAATTCAATAACGATGTTCAATAAATAAGTCATTTTAGAGAAATAGAATCGCAAAGGCAGAACTGCATGATACAGCAAAACACCGCAGGTTTCATACACCTACGCCGCTGAGATAGCCATGACAGAACTTCCATGAAAAACGATACGGTTTGGTACAGAAACTGCACTAGCCTGGCTTGACTAACCTGATTATGCATTCTGAAAGAATTCCATATTCTCCCTTCAGTTTTCAAGACAGGTGAAGAACTCCGTACAGGTGAACCAACGTGAACGGAAAGAATGGGGAATAGCAATTTCGCTAATTCATACAGAGAGCAAGGAGATATTCTCCATCATATCGTTTGCTCTGTGAACAGAAAGTGCAACACAACTAGTGAAAAAAATGGAAGCTCTGAATCACTTAACATAACTTAGTCTTACATCTGGAAACGTACTTCCTGGAAAACAAAGAAGATCGGTACATATTTGGCTGAGAAACATGACTAGCTTGCTGCTTTTGTAGTTTATTAAATTTGCTGCATATTTGAAGTATAAAAAATTTACTATCGTCGTAATCTTTCTGAAAACTGCCGGCAGAGCAGTCCTCTATGAATATCGTAAATGTAAACGTCGTAAATATGATAAACGTTAAACCACTCTGTAAGATCTACAGTACAGCTTAATAACCCTACTCTAACCGATTCTCGGCATTCTCTGTACCAGGGCTTTGCGAAATAACCACAAAGTCTCATTCTACAGTGTCTCAAGGTGTCAGCATTTTTGTACAATGAAGCATGCAAAAACCTGTGTCTGCAAAAGACGGCTGAGTGTCTGCAGATAGAAGAATTGGAAAGGCGGAATCTGCTTGAATTAATCCTCTCCTCAGACATTCACCTGTATAAAATTTCTATCCATCAATCCGTTTCCCTTTCATTCTTTATCATTCTACCTAGTCTCGTTTTTGTGCATTTTGTTTGTTCTTGTGCATTATATGCCAACAAGCCAACGATCACTGCAACATTAGCTGATGCCAGGTTTGCGACTACTTCTACTAATTTAAACAGTAAGGTTTCTGATTGATTTATTGATTGAATAACTGATTGACTGATTGATTGATTGGTTGAACGATAATATTTCGTTCGTACTTTCCTTTAGACGTTTCTGGCGCAAAACGATGTTGAGGTGTTGCCATCGTCCAATAAAATAACAGGTATTACAGTGCAAAGCGCAATGCAATTTATTTTCAGGTCCATTGCCTTCGAATAACTCTATTAACAGCTGCCCAGTTTTTGTCCACTTCATAGGATGGGGATTTCAACCGGTCATGGCATGGAGAAGAGCTTAAAAAATATTTAAACGATAGAAGCTGTCACTCTTATTGCCTGAAGTATGCAAAGGCTGAAAGAATAATCAGCGATGAGATTTCAGTTCTGTTTATGATGATGCCTATATCAACCATAAATTCGAGCTTCTGCAAGTTTGAAATTTCCAACAACAAAAAAACAACTGAATAAGTTGCAGCTAATGTTGAGATTGTCTGATCTGGTTAGCAATGCACTGATGCATAAATTGCATAAATTTGTCACTTTCTTTCGAAATTATAGAGTACACATAGTAAAGTATATGTTGTTGTTTTCGCCGTAGTACTTATTTTTCTGTTTGCATCTTTCCGTTCAAAATCTTTACTGCGTCTTCGTAACAGCTGGCGACACGATTTCCAAAGTCCTTTCGATTCTTTACCACTCGATTTGTATTCGGATTTGAGTCATCATCCAGCAACCCTCTGCACTTGAACACCAGGAGCATGGTCTCTAGGACAAAGTAGTGATTGAAGGCATGCTCTACTTCCTCAAATGACAATTTCACCTTTTGCTTGGTCGCGTGAAAGACTGCGTTACAGAAACGATGAAGAATATGTGCGGTCTCTGCTCTGCGCATCGACGTTGCCATGCACCAGACAGTCAAGTGGGCCAGGTCCTCAACACATGCACCAACGTGGGATAGCTGCCAATCCAAGATGCCTTCGATTTCGTCTCCCGCTTTCCCTTCAGAGGTTGTCTTAAAAACGATGTTGTTCACCCACAGGTCTCCGTGAACAAACACGACCGGCATCGCGTGCTTTCCTTTATCCTCTTCTTCCTCGTCCAAAAACTTTTCGGACATTGTTCGCACGACCACCACTACGTCGACATCAACACCAAAAGCCTTCAAAACTTCCCTGGACATCTGAATGGCTTCCCGTTTCAGGTCAATGTCCATTTCTATCAGCGGCTTAAGCTGGTCTCGGTGAGTGGGCAGCTTTTTTCTCCACGCCGTATTCTTGGTCAGCGACCACCCTTGAAGCTTCGCTATTATGTCCACCAAGTTGTTAACTTGAGTCAAGTTTAACGGCACCGACGGGTCTTCCAACATGGTCCCGGTCTGATTCATATTCTGCAACATAAGCATCCCTAAAAATACTTTACATATGAAATTGTTACTTATATATGGACTACCATAATAAGTTCTCTCCTAATGTCAGGTGATGCATTGGAGTTATCAACATGCATTCTGTACATGAAGAAGCAATCTTGGAAAGCCATGGTTGGCGCATATTTACATGCTATAAGCACTTCGTCTTAAAAGATTCCGTTTCGTTATGACGAAGGTGTTGACAAATGAACTTCAATTGAACTTCGTCTGAACACTTCTGAAACTCATACATGGTCCAATGGCAAATGAGCTAAAAAATAGTACAAATGCCCTCTAATGCATCTGGTGTTTTTAATTTTAGTGATAATCACTCAAGTCTTCTATCCGTTTTCTTCCTAACCTGCCTTCTCTTTTTTATTCATGCTTTTTCATATACTTTGCCTCCTTTTCCTTATCATCCTTTTTTATTTGTTATCCTTCTTCACCTTTTCTGTCTTTCTTTCCTCAGCTTTTTCTATTCTAGAGACTCTTTTATAATTTTTGCACCTGTCTTGCCTCATGTCGAACTGTTATCTATAATTATGTCATTCTAAATATTTCATAAGAAAAAATCACCCCAATGGCGGCCAATAATGACTTGATGCGAATATTAGCAAAGCCTGCAAATGTAGATCCTTGCTATGACCCAGAATCAGGAAATACAAGAGGCTTCTGAAGAATAGGAAGAAAAACAAGGTCTCATTCAAGGAAATGAAAGAACTCTCTTCACGTACCTTTTGTTGATTTTCCTGTTTTCTCGAACTTGTAGCAGATGGGAACAGGCACCGGAGGCTCTCGGCCGAATAACGAATATACGACACATTCATTATCGTGAGCTTTAGCAATCCAGTCAAAGTCGAAGTCCATTTTCTGAAGACCACGCTGTCGCATCATTTCACAGAAAAACTCTTTCAATAGTTCTGGGTTTGGCACCTTTAAGATGACCGTTTCAGGAATGTCGTCCAATGAACCGTAGTCGGAATCCCATTTCAGGGCGTAGAGAGTCACCACGCTCATGAAGCCCTTGCCTTGAGACAGATCGACACCGTGTATTTCTTCAAGTGCTAGACTTCGGTGGTAATAGTGCATAAATGCTTTTTCGATGGTCTCGCGTGTTTCCTCCATCATGAAACACCGGATGGCTGTCTGCGGCAGGTGTCGCTCGCCATACAGCCGCTTACACGCAAGATACATGGCCAGATTTGTAAATTCATAAACAGTCACGAAATATCCACCAGGTCTTAGCGCCTTCTATGCGACGTGCTTACGCATCGGTGCATTGGATTTCCAATGAAGATACGTGTTTACAGAAGCGGGCAAAAACTTCTTCAT